CACTGTAGACTTTCCAATAAAATTAAATATAAAGTATTTAAATTATATAGAGAAATATTTTTAAATATCTTACAGTCTTATTGCAATTATATTTTACATTATATTTATTATATTTTACATTATATTTATTATATTTTACATTATATTTATTATATTTTACATTATATTTACTAAATAAAATTAACGATAATAATGTAACATAAGCTGTAATTAACATTTTATTTGAACTATGTCTTATTAATATAACTTTCGTTATGATTATTTGTTAGAACTTTTTAACATGCTAACAATAATATTATGTTAATATAATTTTATTCAAAAACAGAATAGATATTTGTAATTCTTTAAATCACTAACTTTTACTATAAATAAATCTCTAACAATAAAAGCAAAATACATTTAATACATGTATTTAATTGAGAACTAGCATTTTAATATGTGTAATAATTAACAAGTAATATAAAAATGTCCTGAACCTTTTCTATTTAAATCATTTAACTATATTACACTTATGACTGCCTACAGCCGCCCCGTAATCCCGACCCCTGGACAGAGCAAAAGGACGCCACAAACTATAGGGTTAAGTGTCCGCAAGTGGAGGACCGCTTTGAATACACGCCCACTGAAGACATCATTGAAAGCGAGGACTGTCTGTATCTCAACATATATACCCCCGTATTTGTAAGTCACCACCACTTCCCTTACACTACCCATCCCTTCATTAATTATACTTTTGTGTATATACCTGTAGCCAAACCAATTTCAAGCTAACCTCCCGGTGCTCGTATACTTTCACGGAGGCGAGTTTAAGTATGGTGGTAAAGACTTTTTTAAGCCCGATATTATATTGGAGGCCGCCATGGTAGATAGTCCCGGTGTCATAATCATTACTGTTAACTATAGACTCGGAGTTTTAGGTATGAGTTCATAGAAAGTGCTTTACATTTAAAAATATTTATAAATATTTGTAAATTAAACAAAAATATTGTGTGAAATATGTGTTGATATTTGATTTGTGTGTTTGTTTGCCATTGAAATTCATAGGTTTTATTAGTACGGATGACATTAATATACCCGGAAATAACGGCATCCGAGATCAGGTACAGGCGCTCCGATGGATCAGTGAGAATATCGGCGCTTTTAACGGCAACTCCCAGAACGTGACGATCATGGGTCACGACGCCGGTGCCATATCCGTGTCCATGCATGTGCTCAACCAGGATGCCTGGCGTAAGTCCACTATTATTATTACTAAACTAATACTAATACTAATACTTATTTTTTAAAACTGTAACTTTTTAAATAATTTATAATAATCAATTTATCAACTTTTTATTGGATTTAAAAGATTTCTAAATACTTTTAATTATTTCAATTATAATATTATATAAGCTAGTATATAATATTTATATTAAAAATTTTGAAATATTAATCAACGGAAGTTAGTAATTACCAATTTAACTCTACTATTATTTTTAAATAATTTGGTATAAAATATAATTGCAATAAGACTGTAAGATATTTAAAAATATTTCTCTATATAATTTAAATACTTTATATTTAATTTTATTGGAAAGTCTACAGTGGACACATTATTTCAATTTATTTCTTTTTGATTAATTAAAACATACATTAAAATATAAACTTAGATATTGTAGCTGTATATTTTAAAAATTAATTTAATGTTATTTTGTAAATTATTTAGCATACATGTTATTGAATCTTATAATCGGGAAATTTTTACAATATTCAGATTTAATTAACATACTGAATTATTATTAATTTTTTATAACAATTATATAACTTTTATATTTTACGGTAAGTCTTATATTTATAAAAATGGACATATTAATATAGCACAAAAAAAATTAATTTAAAGACTGTAAACTTTAAATTTCAATATTCCTAACATTAATATAAATTTAATTTTGTATTTTCATAATGGATGTCAAAACAATGGCAACGATTTTCATTTGTTATTTTTGAATATTTGAGATATTAAATACATAGAATAATTAATGTTAAAAATAAATTTTTACAATTAAGATATAATCATTATAATAATCTACTATTAATATAGTATTAAAAAATACTTTCGAGCAATTTGTTTATTATAGTTAATAAGTATTATAGTTGTATTCAATGAATTTTCATTACTAATTATATTAATATAATTTGCATTGATATATTTTGTTGCATAGCCTACTTTCAATCGGCCATATCGATCGGTGGGACGGTGTTCACTCCCTGGGCGTTCAAAGACAACCCCAAAGACCAGGCCATGAACTTCGCCTCATTCTTCGGGTGCGACGTCCGGTCGGACCATATGCTGGAGTGCCTCAGAAATATAGACAGGAATGCAATGATGGGTAAATCGCGGGACAGGGACTACGACCGCAACGTTCAGCCCTATTGGTTCAGACCAGTGGTCGACCGAAACCTCACCCAATCAGCCATATTGAAGGACTGGCCGCTCCAGTTGTACCAAAACAACCGATTCAAGCAGTGCTCGTATATGATTGGCTTCACCAGAGATGAGGGTTCACTCGAGTACTACCTTCAGAAGGAACGGGCGGACAGTCGACAGACTAATGAGGAAAAGATAGCTTTCCTTATCAGGCCTTTCCTTAAGGAGTGGGCCTCAGAGGACATCATCGCGTCGGCCATTAATTACCAGTACTTTAGCCGTAATTTCAGTCGTACGGCCACTAATACACAGTTTGCTAACGCATTGCAAAATACCCGCAATAATGGACCCCTGAATGCTATTAGGAATAACCTACCTTACCAAAATACAGGGTTAAATAGTTACCAGAATAATTATCAGAATGGCGGAATTGAGTACCAGAATGATAAGACTTTGGTTGAGGTGGGTTATTTTAATATGATTTTAATTTTATTATCTTATTAATAATAATTATTTTTTATTAATAATAATAATAAACAATAATAGTACAGTAGTTATGATCATCTACTTAATTATATTTGTTAAATGAATTAAATTCTAAATTTATTTATTTTATTTAATCATAGTTCATAAATAAGTTAGCTATTAATACAAAACTACTTTAATTTTAAAAGCTCATTAAAATAGGTTTAAAAAGTTTTAATAATAGTCAAATCAATCCAGATAGGCAACTTTATTTTAATTACTTTTATTTGTTGAATATATAAATTAAATAATGTTTTCATTACAGCTTTTGGGAGACTTTCTATACATCGCGCCGTCCGACTACGTGGCGCGCCTACACTCCCAGGGAGGCGGTAAGGTCTGGCTGTATGCCTTTGAATACGAGGGCACTCGTAGTTTCGGACCCATACAGAAAAACGCACAGCACATCTCCAAACAAACTTACGGTGTGTCCCATATGGACGACCTATTCTACGCCTGGATCACCGAATACATACGCGACAGCCCGGCCGCCGAGAGATCCCTGTCCAACACATACGCCAAACAATTCTACGTATTCACCCGATTGGGACAAATACCATCCGGGTATATGAGT